GGCACTGACTGAAGCAAATGTGTTCTTCTCACAGGACAGTTCAATAAAAGATTGTCCAGAAGAAATTTTCCAAATAAACTCATTCATATTTTTTTCTAAAAATAGACCCCCTTGAGTTTTATTTATAAAAATAGACCCATTTTATCTTAATCCGGTTCCTAAATAGTCGGGGTTGTCAACCCTGACTATTTAGGAAGTTGTAAACCCCCAATTATAACCCTAAACCCTAACATTCTATGCACTAAATAGTCGGGGTTGGCAACCCCGACTATTTAGAAACCGGATTAAGACAAAATGGGTCAATTTTTGAAAAAAAAAAAAAACTCAAGGGGGTCTATTTTTAGAAAAAAAAATTATGAATGGGTTTGTTTAGAAAATTTCTTCTTCCTTTATAATGTAGGTGAGAGCCTAAGCTACCAAAAATGCCATATAATCATCAAATGGTGGGAAAGACTTGAATAATATAATTGTAACACAAACTCCTGATGCATAACTTCAAAAAAGGAGTTTCCTTTACGAAGGCTAATAAAATTATAAAATTGGGAAACCACGGAATCCGGGCAAAGTCACTTCTAAAAGTGCTTAAGTTTGAAAAAGATGGTTCCTTTATAAGGCAGTTATCAGCCTAACCTATGAAAAATACCCTAATACCATCAAATTTTCATTTTAGGGCCTGTTTGTTTCGCATAAATTTGAGCTGAAAGTGAAGGAAAATCCCATTTTAAAACTGACGCTGAAAATTCTGTCAGTTTTTTTTATTTACGGATGTTTGTTTCATTTTGAGCGGCGAAAGAAAAGGGTGCTGAAAGTGGTGATTTGCGGAAAGTTCTTTTCCGTTCCCAAAACGCCGATTTTGGTGGAAAGTGATCAAAGCTCGTTTTTTTTTCCCTCTCCTTTCATCCTAGGGTTCTGATCACCGCGCCGTTCCTTCCCTCCATTTTCTCCCGCCACCTGCTCTCGCTTCCACCCCGATTTTCCACATCAACTTCGCACGGCTTTTTGCTCCTCCAGCTCTCGTTCTCACTTCTTGATGCCATTCTCCTGTGCAAGCGAGATCGATCTTCCTCCGTTTTGATCTCTTGCGATCTTGAGATCGCTGTTCTTGAGATCTTGCGGTTGATTTGGGGATTTGAAAGGAGATCGCTATTCTTGAGAGCTTGCGGTTGATTTGGGGATTTTGAAAGGTCGATGTTCTTGATCTTGCGGTTGATTTGGGAATTTGAAAGGTCACTGTTCTTGAGATCTTGCGCGCTACTCAGGTAAAAAAAAACCCTAAACGCCTTATATTTTTGAGATCTTCAGCTCTTGCTCCAATTTGAGCACTGTTTTTTCTCGGATTTTGAGCTCTAACATGTGGATTTTCATGGTCTATTTGAGCTTTGATCTGTTTGAGCTTCGATTTTGGGCATTAATTTTATGCAGCTTAATATATTTGCTCTGGTTGCTTGCCTCAACTATTGATCTGAGTTCATGCTAACATGAATATTAGTAGCAATTTCATTTTGGTTTTTGGGTAAAAACAAATTAGTAATTGATGAAGATCGATTATCATGAATGAAGGGCACAGTTTGCAAAATTTATCATGCTTAAACAACCTCGTGTTATAAATTTTAAGAATATTAGTAGCAATTTCGTGGTCTGTTTGACTACGTTATAATTTTTTCCATGCAAATTTATCATGAATGAAAGGCACAGTTTGCGTAAAAAGAAATTAGTATAGTCGAAAAACATTTTATTTCTTTGAATGATGGGAAATGAATCAATTTTTATGGTTAGAAACTCCTTGTCTGCATTCAATTAGTTGATAGGTTCATAGTTATGGACTTTCTTGTCCTTGAGCATGGCTTTGGGTTTTGATGAACTGAATACGAACTAAGAAACAAATTGAAAAATTAATTTGAAGGCAAACATTAAATTTGACAGGTTTACAAGTGGGGTTCTATAATGATTTTCCCTCGATGAATTAAAGTTAAAGAGGTATGCATTTTATGTGTTATGATGATGGGCTTCATTGTTGAAGATATGCAGCTAAAGTTTATACTAGTAATCAATTGGCGAGGCAGTATATGCAGGCAACATTGCTATTATAAACTTCATGGCGAGGCATATAATGAAGAAAAGAGCCTTTTCTGAGCATATTTTCTATAATTTCTTATGAGCTTTGGTTTGCTTTCCATCTTGGCTTGTTTGGCCCTTTTGAGCTCAGTTTTTGTGCAGCCTCTTTGTCTACCTGACATGTAGCAATTGGTGTTTGTTTGGACTCATGTTGTTTGGCCTTTGGACAGCATGTTTGTGTCGGCCTTTGGTCTTTGGTTGTGTATTTCTTTGGTTGGCCTTTGGCACAGCTTAGCCTTTGTTTCAGTTGTGTTTTTTTTTTGTGCCTTCCTTGGTTGCAACCTTAAATTTGGTGTGTGGTTGGTCTTTGGCATTTGGTTGTGTTGGCCTGTGGTTGGTCTTTGGCACAGCTTGACCTTTGTTTCAGTTGTGTATTTTGTGCAGCCTCTTGTTGCTTTCCTTGGTGGCAGCCTCCTGTTTCTTGGCATTTGGTTGCGTTGGCCTTTGGTCTTTGGTTGTGTTGGCCTGTGGTTGGTCTTTGGCACAGCTTGGCCTTTGTTTCAGTTGTGTTTTTTTTTTGCAGCCTCTTGTTGCTTTCCTTGGTTGCAGCCTCTTATTTCTTGGCATTTGGTTGTGTTGGCCTTTGGTCTTTGGTTGAGTTAGCCTGTGGTTGGTTTTTGGCACAGCTTGGCCTTTGTTTCAGTTGTGTTTTTTGTGCAGCCTCTTGTTGCTTTCCTTGGTTGCAGCCTCTTGTTGCTTGACATTTGGTTGTGTTGGCCTCTTGCAGCTCTTGCTTTCCTTTGGTTGGTCAGCTATGATGATGGCCTTCGGATTCAGTTGATGCTTGTGTTGGCCTCTTGCAGCTCTTGATTTTGTGCTTTCCTTGGTAGCAGCCTCTTGTTGCTTGGCATTTGGTTGTGTTGGCCTCTTGCAGCTCTTGATTTTGTGCTTTCCTTGGTTGCAGCCTCTTGTTGCTTGGGATTTGGTTGTGTTGGCCTCTTGCAGCTCTTGCTTGTCCTTTGGTTGGTCAGCTATGGTTGGCCTTCGGATTCAGTTGATGCTTGACCCTTATTTAAATTTTGTGCAGGTTTATTGTACTCTCTGCCTTGGTTCCAGCTCTTGGTACTATTATGTGTTGTTGGTCAGCTATGGTTGGCATTTGGTTTTATATTGATGCTTGGCCTTTGTTTTAATTTTGTGCATGGTTTCAACCTGCTCTCGGCCTTGGTTTCAGCTCTTGGTTGGCCTTTGGTTGGTATGCATATTTTGTGTTATGATGATGGGCTATTTTTAAGATATGCAGCCAAAGTTTATAGCAACAATATATTGGCGAGGCAATATATTGCAGCCAACATTGCTTTATAAACTTTATGGCGAGGCAGATAATGAAATAATGGCCTTTTCTAAGCACAACTATTATGTTGGATGGTAATCTTACCATGGTGACCACAATCAAGTTTTCTTAATTTTTTAGTTTGAACCAAATACTAAAAAATGATGTAAAGTACTTTTACTACATATTTTCTTCTTTTTTCAAGTTAAACCAAACACTAGAAAATGATGTAAAGTACTTTCACTACATATTTTTGGGCGAAACAAACACAAGAAACATTTTTCAGGAAAGTGAAGGAAACACAAGAAAGTGAAGGAAAATAATCTATGGAAAGTGAAGGAAACGAACCAAACAGGCCCTTAAGGAAAAATTACAAGTTTGGTACCTTCTTCAAGCAGGCTTGGCAATTTCCATCATCAGGCAAGGTTTTACTCCCTGGGCTTTCCACATGAACCTGATCAAAGAATCAAAACTAAAATTTTGACAAAAATCCTTTCATCCCCTAAAAGATTATACCTTTCAAAAATCTTACCATCCCCTTCCTAAAATGGCTCTGAACAACGCTCGACTCCACATCATCGAAATAGTGCTTCACCCATGAAATCGCCGTGACCCGATCCGATCGAAGTTTTCGGCCAGGGAGAGGGTTGGGGAGCGAAGGGAAGGGAGGGAGGGAGAGGAGCTGACGTGGCTTTGGGCCGGGCTTCGGGCGTGCCGAGAACTGGGGCGATGTTTGTTGGCTGCTGACTCGGATCACTAGGGGTTCGGCCGAGGCCGCCGACGGAGGGAGAAACGCGGGAGAATCGACGGGGGACTGAAGGTGGGCCCACGGCAGGCGGCGGTGGAGGCGGAGGCGGAGGGCGAGCATGAAGGTTTTTTTTTTTTTTTTGATGGGGGTCTCTACTGTAGTTGCTGCTCGCCGGAGCAAACTTGGGGTTTTGGGTTGACCAGTTGGAGTGCACGTACAGTGCACGTGGTTGAATATCATGCTATTGAAATTGATAAAAATAAAATAAAAAATAAAATTTTTTGCAGGATTGATTATCAACTTAATAATCTCTCTTTTAAATAAAATATTATCATTGTTTCTATAAATCTAGACTATCGTCACGTGATCTACTATTTATGAGTTATAAACATATTGATCTAGTACAATATCTTTCTTTATTAATATCTTAAAATCTTTAAAAGATGGGTGATCATTCAATTCGCAATGGAATTTTGCATATGAATTTACATGCAATGTGCCTATTAAACTTTTAGTTGTGATTTGACTCATATTCACATTAACTCTTAGTTGTAGTTTGACTCATATTCACATTAACTTTTAGTTGTGGTTTCACTCGTATTTACATTATCTAATATTCTTATTCAATTTTATAGCTCATTCTCCGTATTATAGAAGTAAAACTGAAAGTATGAATGATTATTTTCTTGTGAAATTAGAGCTGGGAGATTATGATATATTTCGCCATGTAATATTTTCATAGTGAGTGACCAACTACAATGAAATTAGAGCTGGGAGATTATGATATATTTCGCCATGTAATATTTTCATAGTGAGTGACCAACTACAATCATCCTAATTTAAGCATAAATAATTATTATATTAGTTACGCGTAACTATAAAATAAATCTCAAGTAAAAAATTAGAATTGAAATTGTATTATCTTGTAGGTAAATAAATAAATGTTATTAAAGCCCCTATTTATATTAAATTTAAAAGTAATAATTTAAATTATTAAGTGCCAAATATTAGTTCATGCGAGAAAATAAAGTAATATATGGTTTATATACTTATATAGTCAATCGATTAAACGTATTAAAATTATAATGACCACAGTCAAAATTATATGGTGGGTTCACATTAAATATAATTTATAAATAATAGTACATTAAAGTCAAAAAACTTTTAACCACTATATCAATTGTTTGAAAACTTTTGCATGTATAAACTATATTGCCTAGGAATAGTGATGTACACACTTAACTATAGCCTAATACATCTTAAGAACGACTTACTCTTCAATATCACTATTAATTAATGTATCTATGCATTACACTAAAAACACAATGAAAATTTAGAAAACTACAAAAGAAACACACTCAAAAGTTTTAAAAATATATTACTAAAAATAGAAAATATATTTTTAAAATTTTATTATAATTATCATAACATTTTTAAAAATAGAAAATAATTTTAAAAATATTTTTAATCAATGTAATATTTTAAATTGATTATATCTAAATGAGGGGATTTAATTTTATTTCTTATTTGAATTAGTTACTAAAGATATTACTAAAAATATTCTAATTGATTATAAATTGATTTTTACTACATCTGAATAACTAATTATAAATTGATATTTTCATATTTGCATATCTGATTTGAATTAGTTAGTTAAGATACTGCTAAAGATATTTTAAAAATTCAAAAAATGAAAAATATATATTGTAAGTTTTTATTTGTAATATTTAATCACTATAATAATTTAAAAACACAAAATATATTTTAAAATATTATATTTCAAAAATTTTAATTTCATAAATTTGTAGAAACTTTAAAAAATAAAATATATTTTAAAAATTTATTATAATTGCTGCAATATTTTTTAATCGCTGTAATATTTTTGTATCTAGTTTGAATCTAGAACTAAAGATATTCTAATTGATTGTAAATTGATTATAATTGAATATTTGACTTAAAAAGAAATGTTTAAATGAGAGGATTTTATTTTATTTATGATTTGAATTAGTTACTAAATATATTTTCAAAAATATTTTAATTGATCATAAATTAATTTTTTACTATATTTGAATATCTAATTATAGTTTGATTTTTTCTATATCTGAATATGTGATTTGAATTAGTTACTAAAGATATTGCCCAAAACATTTTAAAATTTTGAAAATGCCTAAATATATTTTTTTAATTTATAATAATTATTGTAATATTTTTTAAAATTGAAAATACATTTTTATTTATACTTTTTAATCAATGTAACAATTTAAAAACCTAAAATAAATTTTAAAATATTATAATTCAAAATTTAAATTTTAGAAAATTTTATAAAATTTTAATAGAGAAAATATATTTCAAAAGTTTATTACGCTTTATGGTTTAGATCTAGTATCAAAGATATTCTAATTGATTATAAATTGATTATATCTAAATATCTAATTTGAAAAGAAATGCCTAAATGAGGGGGTTTAATTTTATTTGTGATTTGAACTAGTTGCTAAAGATATTGTCAAAGCTATTTTTAATTGATTATAAATTAAATTTTTCTACATCTGAATATTTGATTATAAATTGATAATATTTTCAAAAGTTTATTATAGTTGATGTAATATTTTTTAAAAACAAGAATATTTTTTAAATATTTTTCAATCACTATAATATTTTTTATTTTGATTTAGTCTAGCACCAAAGATATTATAATTGATTATAAATTAATTATATCTGAATATTTGAACAGAAATGTCTAAATGAGAGGATTTTATTTTATTTGTGATTGGAGTTACTTACTAAAGCCATTGCAAAAGATATTATATTTATTATAAATTAAAAAATTTTGCATCTAAATATCTGATTATAAATTGATTTTTTCTATATTCTGAATATTTGAATAGAAAAAAGCGCCTAAATGAGGGGATTTGATTTTATTTATGATTTTAAATTTATTACTAAGGATATTGTCAAAGATACTGTCATTGAGTATAAATTGATTTTTTTCTATATTTAAAATTTTGATTATAGATTAATTTTTTCTATATCTAGATATCTAATTTGAATTCCTTACTAAAAATATTGCCAAAGATATTCAAAGATACCTAAATACATTTTAAAAAATTTATTATAATTATTGTAATATTTTTTAAACCAAAAATGTTTATTTTAATTTTTAATCTTTGTAACAATTTAAAAACCCAAAAAATATTATAAAAATATATAATAATTTCTATAATATTTTTGAAATTGAATACATATTTACTATGATAAGTATAAAATTATTTTAATTACAAAAATATTATAAATAATAAAATATATATTTTCACAACTATCTAAAAATATAATAAAAAATTACAAAAATATTATAAATAATAAAATATATATTTTCACAACTATCTAAAAATATAATAAAATCCAAATTAAATTTTAAAATTATTAAAATAAAAATTTCCATTTATATAATGAAAAAAAAATTCAAATTGTAATGTGTAGATTGAAATTAAAATTTTCAAGTTCTAAAAAATTAATTATTTTTTATAACAATTAAAACTAAAACAATACTACACAAATTAAAACAAAAATTATATCAGACAGGGGTAGATGAAATCGAATTATTTTCCTCAAAGCAATTAAAGAGCCATGTGTGAAGATAAAATTGCATAGGTAAAAAAACTGACAACTTGAAAAAAAATTGAAAACTATTAAAAGAGGTAAAAAATAATACCCAAATTTAAAATAAAATCAATAATTCCTATAATATTTTAAAAACCAAAATATATATTTTTAATTAAACTTAATATCTAAATATATTAAATATCTAAATTATTTTCTCTAAGCAACAAAATTGTTGTGAGTTAAAGATTAAAAATCGTTCATTTATTTTTCTGTAGTAATATAAAAAATATTTAAAATATTAAATTGAAAATAATTATTCGATGTTGTAGAATAAGTATCTAAATATTAACGTTATTTCATAACAATTAAAGTTAAAAATTCTATAAAAATGAAAATTATATTTGTCGAGTATAGATGAAATACCTGAATTATTTTCCTCCAAGCAATTAACGAAACATGGTTGAAGATAAAATTACATAGAAATTAAAATTTGATAATTTAAAAAATAAAATATTTAAAAATAATTAAAATGAAAAAATACATAAATTAAAATAACATAAATATTGGATGGTGTTAGATTAATTGTCTGATGTGTTTTTTTAGAAATTAGAATAATAATTTGGAGTAGGAATTAAAAATCAACAATCTAAAAAATAAACAATTTGAAAACAATTAAAATCTAAAAAATAGACAAATTAAAATAAGCATAAATATTGGATGGTGCTAGATTAATTACATGATGTATTTATCGGAGATCAAAATAATAATTCGGAGTTCTTTAAAAAATTGAGAAGGGAAAACCGAATTGTAAAAAAATTGAGATGGGAAAAGTGACCAGAAAAATAAAATAGAATTTTAGGATAAATATATTTGTTGGTTTTTTAAGAAAATAAAAAATGTATTTTTTTCATATATTGAAAAGAAATGTCTAAATGAGAAGATTGGATTTGATTTGTGATTTGAATTTGTTACTAAAGATATTACCAAAGTCATTCTAATTGATTATAAATTAATTTTTCCATATATAAATATATTTATTTGAATTAAAGTAGAGATAAAATAGCAATTTAATTAAAAGGACAAATTAGATGATATGACACGTGTTAAAAAATTTAGAGTAGGAGGAAGATCAGTTGTCATCTTCTGGTGAGTTTTTAAACTTTTTAGTTTTGTTTTAATGTATACCCTAGTAAAAGATTATTATATCACATAGTATATGTACTTTCAATCCCATCTATCCTTTTTCACATTTACTTGTTTTTATGCACGTGCAATACACGTGTTTAAATACCAAAATAATTTTATTTTTTATTTATTTTATTACTATAAATAAGTCAGATTCATTTTGAGTTTAAATCTGTAAAATTGGATTCTTAGATTTGCTATTTTTTATTTAAACATTATAAAAAATCAATATAATAGATTTTTATGCTAAACTGGGATCAATATATTTAATTGGGATACCTTAATTGATTCCCTAAGAAAAAAATATCAATTGACATAATAATATATTCAAGCAGAATAGTAAAAGAAAATAATTTAAGTTGATGCTACATGTCATATTCCAAACTCTACTAATCCCAAGTTATAATATAGAGTAAAGCATGAATAACCATATCATTATGAACTATAGGTCCAGTAATAAAGAAATGACATTTCTTATTGCATTGAAAACAAAACTCCATAGCACTTTGGGACTTTATAAGCTCATATTTTGTAATAAACAATCTCAAAAGCAAATATAAAAAAAATAAGTACAACAAACATGATATATATGAGATCTTAGCCTACATCAATTGATAGACTTAAAATAATAAAAAGATAAAAAACTAAAAATTAATGGTAACTATAATATAATTTTATATGATAAAAGCAGTCACATTAGCATATAAAACTACTAAAAATTTTGCAGGAAAATCCCTTATAAAAATCCCTAACTCTACTCAATATATTAAGATATAATATAAAATGTTCAAAAAAATATTATCCTTTATTCTTTTTGTTTCATATTTTAATTGAGCCGATATCGATCTTTCTCCACCTTTATCTTTTTCTTAAGCAATTCTAGAGTAGCGTCTTCATCATCTACATCGATTGTGATATAAGGCGGGAGTTGGATTTCTTGTGCTATTATATTTCCTTCGCCTCATTCATCTTTTTGTTTTCTCATCTAACTTCACCAGGAATTTTGACGTCTTTTTTGATGGTCAACGAGATTTAACACGAGTTTTGTTTTAAAAATGTTTTAAAACATGAATGCACATGATTAGGGTTTTGTTTATGAGATTTAACACGAGTTTTGTTTTAAAAATGTTTTAAAACATGAATGCACATGATTAGGGTTTTGTTTATGTAATTATACATGAAATTTTCGTTTCAGTTTAGTTCATACATGTTAATATCAGTATCTTTATGCTTGGAATTGATGGGGATGATTTTAGATAGATTGTATGGTAGAAATCAACCTGTGCAGAGTTTCTACAGTCAATCGGTCGACTGATCAGTCGACCGACGGGCCAAATTTTTCAGCATCAGTCGACTGACGGGTTGATTGTGTTTTCTCAGCTCCGCAGTCGACAGATCGGTCGACTGGTGAGCTGAGGCTGTGCTGCGTGAGCTTATCGGTCGATATATGAGTCGACTGACGTCATCAGTCGACACATCAGTCGACTGATGAGATGTTTTACATATTCTTGATCTGTTTGAGTTGCTTTTCAGGGTCGCCTCGATGACCTGACACTAGTTTACCATGCTAATGATTTATCTGTACATGTGGGTTGACTTTTGACACAAGTTTAGACATGTACACCGAGATGCGTGCGAGTTTAGATTATGTATATCTTTCCACATATACTTTTCACTGTTGCACAGTCCTTGTGTTGGACTATAATCCATAGAAGTCCTCGTGTTGGACTATAATCCATTTTTGTCCTCGTGTTGGACATTTGCCACTTATTCCATGTGTTTGGAAACCACAGTATCTAATTCCTGTATCGGACATATTTCTTAACCCTGTATATGACTTTCTCACAGGAGTTTATGACATGTCACTTATATAGATTATGACATGATATTCGTGTAAGTAATAACATGATACTCATGTAGGCTATGATATGGCGCTGTACTTATGCTCTGAGATTAGTTGTATTTCTTTTATTATTGTTCCTGTACTAGAACCTCGGGTTTGGTGTTTAGGGATTTACAATTTGAGATGCAAGGTATATACATGAGGGTTTCCTTGTTTGGATTATTTCGCTCGACGTACCTATGCTCGTGTTGTAAATTTCTAAATACTAAAATCCTCTTTAGCAAGATCAATGATTTTAGATCTATTATGTATTATCTGTATTTTCTTAGACAACGAGCCCTGTTCCCTTGGGGTTGGTTGTGATGTTGCTCGCTAGCGCTTTGACGCTCGTTGTCCCTCCCCCTTTCAGGTAACGAGCCAGGAGCCCGAAGAGTCGCAGGTTGATGGCGATGCATTTTAGCTTCAGCTGTCTACTTAGTTATATTTTCTTTTGGAGTTCCACAGTAGACTTTTGTTTAGACATTTGAGAGTCTTATTCTAGAAGTTGTAAAAGCTATGTGCCTTATTTCCTCTTATCAGATATTTGTATTTGAGACTTGTTGAGTATTCCAGTTATCTATTCAGACATTGACTATGTATTTCCATATGTTGGATGATGAGATATTAATGTGATCACTATCATTTCATCAGTTATTTCTTGTATTATCTTTTACTTGCTTTTGTACCTACACCTATTGTTGACTCTACTAGATAGATGTTAATTGTGATGGTGAAACATGTTGTTGCACTGTGTGGTGCATGGCAGGTTTGGCATTCTTGGTTTCACCTTGGACTGCAGCCTTGTGTGAACCCAGGGGCGTCACAGTTGGTATCAGAGCTCTACTTGAATAAAGTTAGGAATTACCTCTTCTTTCTCTGTAATGAATTCTTCTATTGTGCATCCAATAAGAGTTTTTGCTATATAAAATAGTGTTACCCTTGCATTGTCCATGTCATTTTTCACGAGAATCTTAACTACACACCTGTAGTTTTCATTGTTGATTTCTAGATATATATTAATATTATGTTCATGTCATAAAAAAGATATATTACTTAATCTTGATACTGAGTTATCAACAATTCTACATCATTTATCATTCAGACACTCTTTATTAACATCTTTATCTACTTTCTTGTTGCAGCCTTTGTAAGTATATAACCATGGCTCGAGTCTATTTAAAATAGTGGTTATCTTTGACTTAAATGTGCAATAGCATGTTTGTATAATGACAAAATTTAGTTAGGTTTAACTGTGTTAATAAGAATAGGTTTCTAATATTGTACATGTATTGAATTCTGTGATGTATGCATAATATCACTAATTTGAATTTTTTTACATTAATAAAGAGCGTTGATGGAGATCCTTTTGTTATGATATATAGAGATTTTTTATATATAGAGAGCGTTGATGGAGATTTTAAAATCTGTTAATGCTATTATAGGTTTATCTTTGATTTTGGCTTCAATAAATCCTTCATTTGTAGCCAAATCCCCCTATAAAGTTGCACGCATAGTCATTCCACTGTACATGAAAAAGAAAGATTGCTAATCTTTTTTTTTATGATATTGAAAATAAGTATCATGAATGTACCTTTTATCCATAATCGTGATTTCCCTCTTATTGTCTAGTTTGTTATGTCTTGTAATATAGTTGATCATCAGCTTTACGTTAGTTGTTATTGCAAGAACATCTGCAAGTAATTTTATAAAAAGTTTATGACTCTATAAATTAATATCTTGTTTTGTATTGAAGAATAAAGTATGAAATTTTAAGTACTTACTAACTTTTGTTGCATCTTCCATAGAAAATTCTTCTTCAATTGGGACAAAGTTGTTCAATATTTTTTTCAAATGAAAATCAGTTGGTGCTTCTTTGATAGATATGTCTTTTATTAATATTAATTCAAGTGACTTGTGGACTCTTGGAAAAACTGTGTTTATTCCTTTCACTTCTCCATTTAAAATAAAAATAATTTGATTCTTTCAAAGCATATCTCTAAACTTTTCAATAGTCTCTCCATACATAAATCCCTATATTTTATTACCCTATAAATATTATTAACATTAAAGATCAATGGTTGTAAAATATAATTAATTAATACTAAGCTATATGTTATATTTTAATTAGTTATATGTAAACAGAAAAACTACACAAAAAGGCATTCTGAAAGTTATTAGGGTTTCAATGTAATTTACCCAATAGATATTGAGGTTTAACAATACTTATATGATCACTGGGAATGTTGTGTAAGTAATATAACATAAAGAATATTTTTATTTTACCTTAGTGTCAGTGAGAATTAGCCTTAGTAATTTCTATGATCCTTTTGCATTACTGTAAGTGGCCTCTGCACTTCAATGGATGTTAAGATGAATTGTCCATTCTTTTTGCAACTTCTTTAGCTGGCTTATTTGGATGTGTTGAATTTGGCATTCGTTAGTGGTAGCCATATTTCCTGTAAATTAGATTAAAATATACATGTTAGTCTTGACCACTATCTTAGAATATACTATAGCCTTTAAAATAAATTTATTAATTGTTGTTTCTCATAAGGTTTAGAATATTATTAAATCATAATATAGTTTGAGTGATAAAAAATTTAAGTGCATGTTGAAGCAAAAAAAGTTATACAAAAATGAAAATTATAAATTAGAGAAATGAACATGAATAAATATAGCTAATTATTATGATAAATTAATTACCTCTAGAATAGCTATTGTGACTTTTAAGTTAATTACTTGTTTGTTGGTTGGAGAACTTCCTTATATATCATATTTTTCATGTATCTTTCATCTTCTTTAAATTTTTCGTCCGATGTTATCAGGACTTTGATTGTTCTCATTAAAGTCCCTTGTGATAAAGCAACATATAGCTGACTATGAGAGAAAACGTGTTGAGCTACATAGATGCCTACATTAGGTATTGTTTGTCATTGGATTTATTAATTGTCATTACAAAACATAGCTATATTGGAAATTGCTTGCGTTTGAACTTGAAGAGGAACCCATCATCTTCTGTTGGAGACAAAAATATTCTTGGCAAGAAAACTTATTTCCTAGCATGTTGGCTCATTTGTGATCTTAGCATGAATTATATTACAATTAAAATCTTGACATATCAGTTTTGTTCTATTGCATAGCCTAGTAGTCGGATCTAGGTTCTTTAGTAAAATAATAGGACAATGCTTCTTTAATACCAGCTTATGGGGTGGTAGTCCATTTGGTAGTAACGTATTAAGGAGTTATTGCTGGTAATGATGATTGGTATCATTAACTGCTTCATCAAAGCTGTAGAATTCTTTTCCTTCATCTAGAAACTGTTTTATGATTCTATCATTTAGCATGTCTACATATTCATTTTTTGTTGCGAGGATAGCTTGGCCTTTCATATAGTCAATGGATTGGAAGTTCTCATCTAAAGATGAAAAAATTGAATGTATGAGACAATCTTTCGGTAAATCATCACTTTGATTCTTGATTAAAATAGGAGCAGGCAACGCTATTCGGCCATCAGCCACCATTGGTTCATCTCCATTCCCAACTCTAAGAAGGAAGTCGCTAAATGTTGAATTTGTCATTGCTCTCATATTCTCTGGTAGCTTCAACTTTTCCATTTTATTCCACAAATATGAGCTTACTAAACTTTCTCTAACAGCTTGTGATCTTGTTTCACGGGGTACTATTGATAAAACTTGTCTAAAATCCCCACCAAATACAATTACTTTATCACCAAATGGTTTACCTCGATCCACTATATCCGTTGATGTTCTATCTAATATTTCAATTGTAACACGTTTAACCATTAGAGTTTCATCCCAAATTATTAATCTAGCTATCTTAATTAGTTTGAGGCTCTATCTTGCTTGGATATGCTACACATAGATGATTATTTTGTTTGGATTTTTATCTTAAATCTGAAATATATTCTTCAGCCTCTAGGCATTATTACAGCTGCTATGCCCGATGTCGCTATAACAAGAGCTATCATCCCTTCTAATCTTACTTTGGCAAATAAAACCCGATATAAGAATGTCTTCGTAGTTCCTCCAGGCCCATCAATAAAGAAAACCATACTTTTATTTGCCTGAACTCATGCTAACACGGAAATGTATGCATTATATTATTCAGAGTTGAGTGTTAATTCAGCATTAAGGTCTTCAATTAGAATTTGTACATCGAGTTCATCTTGAATTTCTCTTGGCATGAACTGCCTTTTAAATTAGGGTTAGGTTGAACAGGTAGTAAATCAAAAATTTTAATATCCTTTTTCATGCTCTCTAAGAAGAATTTAATGTTGTAAAGAATGTCGTTTATCATTAAAACTCTCGTAGCACTAGGTTTCCTTAAGAAATCTTCAGATAATGAGTCAAGGTATCGATGCCATAATTTATTAATATCTGTGGGCTCAAGTGAACCAATAAAGTTCACAGCGAAGGGTTGCTGGCAATTGGAAGATGATGGCTTCATCTAAGCATTCTATAATGCTATTATTTGATTCCAATAAACCTGATTTCTAAGCTGATTGTTTGAATGACGTGCATTGAATTCCATCCACGGTCAATAGATTCTCAAATGAGGTAGGGCATCTGATGTGAGTAAGTAAAAGTCGTAAGTAGTATCTCTCCCCTTCAATTGAATTAACACTATTTATACGACCTATCACATGTCTTTATTTTCTTGGACTCCAACATTTTATCGTTGAATCTCAGACATAAATTCTGGAAGTTCACAATATAATAACTCTTTTTTCTGCTGTTTTTCTAGTTTCGACTTGTTTGCTTCTTTAATTTTTGAACATAAAGTGAAAAAATTCTATAAGCATTGTCTTGGAGACATGATCCCAATGGGATAGTTCTTAATTTTTCTAATAGGAAACAAAATGTTGATTCGGCAAGTGTAGTTGTGAGTTGATGACAGTTGGATAGATCTTATTAAGATAAAATTTATATATTCTCCACAAAGCTTCTTGAGTTGATACTCATCTTGCATCTTAAAAAAAAACTCATTCACAAGTCTTCCTCCTTCATTATATTTAATGTTTACTATCACTTTATCATGACCCGTGTATATGTACTTGTAAAGGTACTTCACTGCTTTAATACCTGAGCATATTTCAACATTAATGTAACAATTATAACGTGTCAGCAAATATGGATTGCAAGGCACAACCTACTGATTATTAAGGATTTTATTGTGAACCAACATTATGTTATTATCTTTGCTCCTCTTATAAATTGGGTACACATCTTTTACTTGTATTGATCGTGAGCTAAATTCTCGAGGGTAGTGATATTTGCACTCTCCATTTTGCATGCAACTATTCTTCATGTTCAACTCAACACAAGGTCCATGCATTACATGATTTTTACCAATTCATAGAGGATCATGTGTTTGGATTGGTCTGGAATTTCTACAAAAACATATTTATCATATTGATCCCATGATGTGATTTTGTGATCTCCAAAAAGAATTATTAAGATATGTGCATGTGGTATCCCTCTGTTTTGAAACTCAATCACGTGAGCATTTATGACAACTTTCCCAAATATCTATTTCTTAAAGAGTTGATCTTTCAAGTCTTGTCGCTTTGCTCGAAATATCCTTGAGGTTAGATCTAGCCTATCATTATGGGTTTGACCTGGATATTTTTGCTTGGTGATCTCTTCCCATTCTGGATTACATGTCATTGTTATAAAAAGATCTGGCTTTTCTAATCGTTGACATTGCATCAAGATATCTATGATGCATGTCTCTAGGACCACCTATGAATGACGATTGAAACACTATTCTATTGCCCACTTGGCATGCATTTGCTTCCCCAGCAGCTACACTGTCAACAATGTATTGGAGTAACTCTGCTCTGCTTTCTGATTATTTATTTCTAAAGTAATCAAGTCTTTTTGTTTTAAGTTTATGTACATATCAACAGCATATTGATGGAATAAACGACCAGCTGATGTAAGTAAAATAGATTGTCGAAAGTCTCTTATCTGAAACTTATGACAATAATAATCTCGCATGAGACTTTTCCCAACTTTGGTTCCTTGACGCTTATAAGTTTGAGTGTTAAGCTTTGTTCATATATAATAATATTATTAAGAATTGTTTAAATTTACCTTCATTGTGTCCCATATAGGAAGAGAAGGATACAAATAAAGCAGACAGCCAATGCAATACTATAATAGTATTATCATATTCTTCATTGATTCTACTGGAATAAATCAAGTTAGTTATATTCTTTAGTGTCTATATTCATACTTTTATGATATTACCGAAAGCATCCATTTTTTCTTTATCTTTTTTTTCGTGAATGGTTTCTCTAAGAATGGAAGCAAGAGATGGTAAAAATACATTTCGGTACAAATTGAAGTCCATGGTGTTGGCCTTCTTGTTTTGATGATGTTTAACAAACAATTTATTACTAATGTTGTTTGTCTAGTGT